GGGAAATCAGTAAATAGAACCACCAAAATCAAAACTATTGGTTCCCAGTAGACATGATCCTTCAACTGATATTAAGATTAAACTTTTCTCCAGTCCCACATCTTCCTATGAGCACTCCAAGTACCTCATGCAGGCTGCTGGAGGGGTTAGGGTAACCAGCTCAGGTTGGGAGACAATGGGCCAGTCCTACTCCAACATGAACTCCAGCCACTGTGGAGGCTTTGCTGCCCTGGGTAGCCAAGGCAGGCAGGGAAAAGCAGCATGCAGTTCTGCACCAGCACACCAAATGGCCAACATCAGCTACCCAGAGCCAGTACAGACCAGGAGAACAAAATAGTCATGCTTTGGAGAAATTTTAGCCAAATGGGAAATTCTGGGGACCCTACTACCTGTTTGTCCAAAAGAACCCAGGAATATGTCAAGACAAAGAAACAAAAGGCAATCTCTGGGCTCCAACCCAAACAGAGCAAGTCTAGGAAATGTAAACATAGAAGTTTCTGAATGGATGGCAACTGAAGTAAAAGAACAACTTCATGAGGCTATGAAAGAAATTATAACAAAAATATCATCTCAGGTAAAAGTAAAGATGAAAAACATAATAACAGAATTTTTAAGCACCTCTAAAGAAGACAGAGATAGAAAAATAGAAGAGCATAAGAAAATGAGGGAAATCTTGAATGAACAATACAAAGAAGATTCAGAATTCATGAAAGACATTCACAGGAAATTAAAAACACTATTGAATCCTGGCAAAACTGCTTGAAAGAAATTGAAGATTGTTTTTCATACCTTGAAGACAGGTTTGCAGCTGGCAATCATGAAAGAAAAGTTCTCTTAAAAATAACAAGGCGCCAGGAAATAACAACTCAACAACTATAAGTTGTTGCAAAGCAAAATAACTTAAGAATAGTAGATTTCCGTGAAAAAGCTAGGGTTAACACCAATGACATTAAAATTCTACTTACAAAAGTAATAGCAAAAAAATTCTCAAACATGAGAAAAGGATGTGATATACAGACAAATGAGACATATAGAATTCAGCTAACCATAAGCAAAGTAAATATACACAAAGATGTATAATAAAGATTGCATTATTTCAACACAAGTTCAGAGCTGTTAAAAGCTATTAGAAAAAAGAAACAGATCACCTGTAAAGGAAAGCCCATCAGAATCTTGACAGACTTCTCAACATAATCAAGGCAAGAAGAACTTGGAGTGAGGTGTTTCAAATCATGAAAGAAAAAAAATTTCGAATCCACATTGATATACGCTGCAAAACTAGCTTTCAGAATTAATAGAGAAACAAGATACTTTCATGACACAGAAAAACAAAAGGAATTGATGACCACCTAAAAATTCCTACAAAGCATACTGAAGAACATTCTAGAGAGATATGAAAAAGACCATGATTTCAGGAAGAGTACCAGAGAGGAATCACAGAGTGGGGCAGACCATTGAATAGAGGGGAAAATTGGGCATCAAATGGCAGGAAAATACCATGGGAGAGATGATCCACTGCATATTGGCCATAACCATGAATGTAGATGGCCTCAATTCACCAATAAAAGAAACAAAAGCAGAGAGGATCAGGAGACAGGATCCATCTATGTGCTTTATACAAGAAACACATTTAACTCAAAAGGGGGTTCATAGACTGAAAGTCAAAGGTGATAGAAGAATAATGCCCTCTGTGAGAGGGAACCAGGAAGAAGTGGGGTAGCTTGCCTATCAGCCGAAGAGTGGATAAGAAACACATGGCATTTTTATACAATGGAAAGATACTCAACCGTAAAGAAAGATAACCTTAAGGTTCTTGTAAGGAAATGAATACAACTTGAGATTATGCTCAGGGGTGAATGGGTCCAAGTCACATGGGTAAACATCCTGTTGTCTCCCTAGTATAAAAAATTAAAGGAATTAGTGGGATAGAAAAGGTACAATAAATATTGTGAAACTGAAATGAAAGGAACTGTCTATGAAGGGAAGGCAATGGCCATTGTTACTGTTTTTGAAACCCTGTACTTTTAAAATTGTTTGGATTACTCTCAATTTAAGCTGTTTGTTATATTTGATTTTATTATATTTGGTGACGTGCACAATGATTTCAAATATAATAAATATATTTTTGTCACCATTTTTGATTTAATAGTATTTTGAAGGTGAGTGTTGCTCTTACTGTTTTGGTTTGATTGATTTTATTCTATTTTGTTTTGTTTCACTTTATCGTGTTTGACAATATGGGCAGCTACTTTGAAGATAACAAGAGGCATAATGGTAGCCATTGATGTTTTCTATTTGTTTTGTTCTGAGATTCTGTATTGCTTTCATTGTTTTGTTCTGATTGATTTTATTTTGCTCTGTTTTCTTTGGTTTTGTTGTGTCTGGAAGTATGAGTACTTATTTTGAAGATAACAAGAGACATTATGGTAGCCATTATAGATTTCCTCTTATCTTGTTTTGAAGTCCTGTACCCAGCTCATTGCTTTGTTTTAATTAACTCTATTCTGACTTATATTGTTTGGTATTATTCTAGCTAAAATAAACTTTTAAAAGTATTAAACTTTTCTCACCTGTTCCTGTGTTAGAAGGCATGCTTCTTTAGGAGTGGTAATGCTACAGCCTCCCTGACTAATATAATCACACCTATGATCCATCACTAATCAAAACAGCATATCCTTGAGTGCTTACATGGTTTCTTATCTTTCCCTTGATGAAGCTATAAAGGTAGTTTGTCTTTCCTGACTACAATAAAAAGTCTTACTGTTGGCCATTCACATAATGGAGGATAATAAATATTTGCTGTAGTGTGGTTGGTTGAAGGAGCTGAACAAGGGAAAAATGTGTAAGCACAAAGTCAAAGAAGGACAGGATTTTTGTTGGGGGATTCTGCAAAATGGAGATATGTAATCTAGACAACCAGGTGACCCAGACAAAGTTGGAAGAACTAGAGGTCCTGGCAGAGTCCCATGCTAGCCTGTATCAGGAAGAAAAGATGTCTTGCTGGAAGGCTGAAGAGTGCCCTGGAAGACTGAAATGTTTGCACTAGAAACCAGGAGATAAACCTTCAGAGACAAAGGTGAAGACAGATATGTCTGGGAAAAAAAGCAAAATTGAGACTTTGTTCTTCTTTCTGTTTTTATTCCATCCAGGATACAATAATATGTTGTTGCCACACAAACATACAGTTGGTCTTCTTTATCCAAAAAATCCATCATGCAGTTGTACCTGGAATTACCCTAAACCAATCAGCCAAGCATTTCTTATTCAACTGGACTCCACAATATCTACATAAGGGACAAGAAAGAAAGCCACTTTGGCTCATTTCTGTAACATTCTGTAATGGAAACACCAGAAAAACAGCTAAACAAATCAAATCAATTTTACCACAGTTTCTGTCTTCTGAAAGCCATTGGTCAATAAGTTTATGCATTATGAATCCTTACACAGTGGATAGGATAAAATCCACAGATTAAGAGAAAAAATAATTTTGGCACACATACACACACACACACATACATATACATATACATATACATATACATATACATATACATATACATATACATATACATATATAGCACTAAAGAACTTGCTTATAATCTAAGATCAATAAGGATACACCAGTTATAATGAAATGACAAAGAAACCCAATTAGTCACACGTAACACATGAAATAATATGTCATTCTTCATAATGAAACTGGTCCTGTAAAATAAAAGCATTCCAAGGCATCATGGTGCATGCCTGTAGCCCCAGCAGTCAGGAGTACAAAGCAAAATGATCACTGCAAGTTTGAAACTAGCCTGGTCTACAAAGTCAAGGCCAGTCTGCACTTCATAGGGTAACCCTGTCTCAAAATGAAGAAATGAAACAAAATAAAATAATTAACATGCTTTGAAATCTGAAGAAAGGTAGAAGTGAAAAATCTATATCCTATAAACATATCTATTCAGTGACAATGTAAAAGCAAAACTGTTGTCTACTCGAAATCAAAGTAGACATTTTGCCTTATACACTGCAACTAGGACTCTTGGTACAAACCCACAAAGTAACATTCCACACTGAACTAACAGTGCTATAGTGTTGGTCATTCCTTTGGTAACTGTTCCTGGCAGAACCCAGTACTCCAAATTATAATAAAACTGCATGTAAGGGATTATGGTGACCAAGCTTTAAAAATTTAGTTTAGATTCACAGAAACTAGAACACTTGATGACCCTCAGTTAACATCAGAATTTCTAACAACCTTCCTTACTCTTTAGATGTGTGACAGCTAAACCTAAGAATATAAATTCTTGTGATATTTAACTTGAAGAAAAGTAATGTTTATCTAGAGGGTACAGGAACAAATTTCTGAGGGTCACAGTAGAACCCCGTGTTCCCATCAAGGGTGCCAGGGAAAAGGGGTGGGAACCTGCTGAGATGAAGAGAACTTGTCAGTATGAGGCCTTCCTGGCCACTGCCCCACATAAATATTTCTGTTCATGGTACAAGTCTTATCACATACTTGTTTTCCCTAACAAGGTCTATTCTCGCAAATACACAAGATTCTTCATCTCCATGATCTAGTTTTTTAGTAAACATGATGTGCTTTCCAAAACAATGCTTTCCTGAGTACTGGCTCTGGAGGGTCAAGTAGATGGACTTAGTCCAGTTACACAGTTCTAATTCCAAAGAAGACTTCACCCTTCAAAATCTCCTGCAATCTTATCTTCCTAATTAGCATTAGCTAACTTGCTCAGTGGCATATGTGATTTTAAAACAACAATACGTAACATGTAAAATATTGAAACTCTTGATTCTGGGGAAAACACACAAAATCTTAGAAAAATATGCAAGTCAATCATTGTAAAAACTAACCTATGTTAAATAATAAATAGCTTATTTAAGTATGAAATGTAGTAGGGGTAGTATTACTAAATCCAGAGAAACCATAAAAGAAATACATTTCAATCCTTGTTTTCATTTTTTAGGTCTGGATGAGAAAATAAGGCAAAAGCATGCAACTCTCAAGAGCAATAGGGTTCTTCCATGGAAACATTTTCTTATTAAGTGCCACAGTAGGGGCAGGAATATTTGTATCTCCTAAGGGAGTACTGAGTTACTGCTTGCTGAACATTCCTGTCTCCTTGATTATATGGGTACTTTGTGCCATACTCAGTATGATCAATGCTCTCTGTCTTGTGGAGGTGGGGACCACCTTCCCTAGAAGTGGAGCAACTTATTTTCTCCTCAAAAGAACACTTGGATCCTATGTTGCTTTCTGTTCTGTTTGGATCAATTTTTTTGCTTATTTAATAGGACTCAGTGCACAAAGCTTGCTGGTAGCTAGCTATTTAATTCAGCCTTTTTATGCTGGGTGCTCACCTCCAGAGCTGCCAAAGAAATGCCTAGCTTTGGCCATTTTGTGGTTCTTGGGACTTCTGAACACTCAAGGGATAAAAAGAGTGTCCTGGTTTCAAACTGCGAGTTCTTTGATGAAGATGTCTATTCTCTGTTTCATTTCCCTAACCGGGATCATCCTGTTAGTGACTGGGAAAAAGGAGAACCTGTCTAGGTTTGAGAATGCTTTGGATGCTGAACTTCCTGATGCCTCGCAAATTGTAGAAGCCATTCTCCAAGGATTCTACCCATACATAGGATGCACACTCCTGACAAACATAGCAGGTAAATCCATTTCTTAATACTCCAGGCAGCATGCATAAAACTTCTTCCAGAAGAAATGAGGATGGTTGAATCTGGTACTCTTGCTTTCTGAAGTGCAGTTTAATCTTTTCCTTACTACATGATCATCATTAAATCCCATATACAAAGTATCACAGAGTCTATGGAGAATGCAGTGTTCTTCATTTTATACCCCTGCATAGACTTTTCAATAGGTTTGATAAAACAATAAGGATTGTTGGACTTCCTGCAAGTTATTGCATTTCAGTCTACCATTCTGCAGCACTTTAAGTGTTACACAAGTAATACATCTGTATAATCATTTTCAGTAATATTTTAAGATGTTTAACTCTGTTGTACATTTTTATTATTACCACAAAATCTACTTCCCTAAGCAGTTCTAACTCCACTTAGTGCTGTGATTCTTATTTATTTTTGACATTGTGCATTGCATGTCATATATATATATATATATATATATATATATATATTCCCTGCAGTAGTAAAATGCTATTTCTTAATTATGATTTCACACTGTCTCCTAAGACTCATTCCTATGTTACTATGTAATTTTCTAGTGAATTCTTTTACCTGCATCACTTCACATATTAAATGTTGATATTGTTTTTGAGGCTGGTATAGTGAACTTCATGCTGTATTAAGAGACTCTTGTATTTCTGTACCAGTGTGCCCCATGCTGATAATATGGTTTCAACTAAATTATCAAAAATTAGTTTGGTAATAGTGGTACAACATGCTTGAATAAAAAAACATGGAGTAGAAAACAACTTATTTAATCCACTCAAAATCTCTATAGTAATAGAAGAGATTACTATATAAGTCATATAAATAGTGTATTAATGTTGGGAACATTAACAGTTGTTGAAGCTGGAAATTGACTACGTGTGCAGGGCTGGAGCATAACTCTCCCAAGAACAAAGGATACCCTGGGCAAGCCATCTGAAGAAGGTGTTTAAGCCCAGAAACCACCTAGCTTCTAGACAATCTGAGTAGTGTGTTGATAGGACAGCAATATGATATTGCTGTCAAAATGTATAACTAAATGGCCATATAGTGAAGGGGCAGTTCCTTTTCTCCTACTAGGAGAGTAAGGCTCCACTTTACCTCAGTTTTATCGCTTCTTCATTTTCTCATTCTCTTGAGGTCTTTCACCTGAAGAACTTCAAAAGCCATAGGAGTTATACCATATTATCCAACAATATGTTTGTAAATCTTGAACTGAAAAACAAACTTACTATCCTAGGTATAACACTCACATAAGTTTTTACTTGAATTTTCTGTAGCATTTTATTAAACTTTCAAATGATTATTGCTTGAAAGATTGTCAGATTAATGAGACCCCTAGTTTACTCTTTCATAGTATGAAAAGTGTAGAACTGGTTTGATTTTTAAAAAGATTTTAATGTTTTAATTTCTTCAAATGAAGATATAAATTGATAGATTTAGTGCTACTAATTTAAATTTTTATATTAAAGAGAAAAACAAAGAAAAATGAAAAATACGAGACATACCAACAAAAACTACACAAAAAACAAAAAATCCAAAACACTAGCAATACAGGCTTTCAAAGCAAAATGATAGGAAATTAACAATGGTTGCAATATTACATACTGTTATCTTCAAAAGAGTTGCTTAGATTACCAGATATGTATATGCAAGTTGATATAATCTTATAAGTATTAACTATGCTTTTCCAAGAACTAATAGAATTAGTAGTATAGTCATCTTACTTATTTTTTGTATATGTAAACAAATTTATATCTTTTTCCTTTTCTCTGTCTTTTCTACTTTCCCCACCTTTGTTATTTTTCCCTTTTGAGCAGTTTCTCACCCTTTCATAAGAGATACAATAAATTTTGTATCTTACTTACTTTTTAAGTTTTTTACACAAAGAAACCAATATGATATTTATACATATGAGTCTGATATATTTCTCTCATTAACATAGTCTCAAGTCTCATCCATTTACCTATGAAATCCTTGATACAATCCTTTTTTATAGTTGATTAATGCTGTATTGTATTTTTAAAAAAGCCATATCTTTTTTACCTATGCCTCAGCTGATTGGCATTAGGGTTGTTTCTCAGATTTGGCTATTACAAATCATGCTGCTAATTTTAAACTGTCTTAGTTACTTTTTACTCATTGCTGAGAGAAAATACCTGAAGCCCAAAGTTGGGAAAGGAAAGGTTTATTTCTTACAGTTTTTGGAGGTTTCAGTCCATATTCAGTTGGTTCCAAGACAGGGTGGCATGGCTGGGCAGCAGTTCATAATGGTTGCAAACAGCAAGAAGGAAACTGATGCTGGGTAACTGATGCATTTCTGGAGCATGGTGCTCTGTAGCTTTCTCCTCTGAGCAAATTGTTTCATTTTTGCAGTTTTGAGGCTGCAAAGAGTGGAAACCCACTGCTTTCTGGGATGCCCTGGGGCCATCTTACTTATCTCTCTGTTTCTTCTCAGAGACTTCTCAAAGTCTCAATCCTGTCTTTACAATCCACAGCTTTCCTGGAATTCTCCTTCTAGCCAAATTCACAGAGTTGTATATTATGCTGCTGGGCTCTTTGCTCTTGATTTGCAACATAAGCCTGGCTAAAAGCCCCCAGCAATAGCCATGCTACAGCCTCAATATTGAACTGCTTTGAAATTTTCTTTTACAGATTAATCAGTCCATTGCCCTTTGTTTCAGTCTCAGGTAAAGTCTCTGGGCATGAGCAAAATGCAGACAAACTTTCTGCTAAGCCATAATACATATCATGGGGAGTCCAACAACCAGTGCAGTACTTCTCAGCAGAAACCTCCCAAGCCAGGTCTTTACAATTAGGATTTCTATCAGACTTCTGGTCTCCTGAGCTCTGACTAGAATCTCCTCTACAAAACAGCCTAAGCTGCTCCAGTTCTACGTATCCAGGTGACATGTCCTAACCTTTCCAAACTCTTCCCACAAACCATTTCCAAAGCCTCTCAAAAAACATAGTCAGGTATAGTCACAGCAAATGAGCCCACTCCTCGATACCAAACTCTGTCTTAGTTACTTTTCACTCATCGCTGAGACAAAATACCTGATGCCCAAAGTTGGGAAGGGAAAGGTTTATTTCTTACAGTTTTTGGAGGTTTTGATCCATACTCAGTTGGCTCCAAGGCAGGGTGGCATGACTGGTCCCCAAATAGGTAAAAAGTCCAATTCCAAATTTCTTTTGAGACTCAAGACAAAATCCTACCTGTGACTCTCCATGAAAATGAAAAGTATATTATGTCATTACAGGATGAACACTCCCTTTCCTACAAACTAGGGCGTGGGGATAGAAATTAACAAGTACAAAGCAAGACTAAGCACACTAGTGAAAGTATTAAGTCCAACATAGCCATGACTTCCATCCAGGGTACATAATGATGAGATGTGAGTTCTGAATGGCTTGGAAAGCCCTACTCCTATGGCATTATAAGTTGCAGCCCACACAGCCACTCTCTTGGACTGGCTCATATGCAGCACCTTTCAGCAAACATTCCATATTCCTGGCATCTTCAGATCTCCATTGCTCATTCATCTTCACTCCTACAGCTTTCACATATACTTTCTCAGGGGCACACTGCCTACCCTTCCAGATCTTTCTCCACAATCTCAATGAAAAGTTCCATGACCACTTACATTCTGCATCCAGTAAAACTAGCATAACATAGATGATGGAAATATCTCCTTTCACTAAAGGCAACTGCTAATCTCTCTTGATCCCAGAAGAAGTGGCTTTTGGACCAATAGTGTGATGGTTTCTGTGTATTCAGAAAGCTGAGTATGGTGAAATGAGTTTGTGGCACCACTTCTCTAGAATTTCTTTCTAAAAAGGTACAGTAGAGAATCTCTTCTCAAATGAAGGTTTGCACTGTTTCACTCCTTGGCTTTCAATGAATAAGAACCCAGTGATTTCCATGAGGCCCTCAAATCACAATTCTTTTTGTCCTTGTCAAAGCATTTGACTTCTTTTTAATGGCAAAAATCTGTCCATCACCCAGAACTCTATAGACCACAACTGTATCAAGGATTCATTTTGGGTCAAAATTTAAGTTTATATACTGTTTCTGCTCTGCTCTTTGCACATTATTCAATTATGTTATTAGCTGCGAGCCTGAGGGTTTTGTTGTCTGGTCCTTGATATCCCAAACGAGAATTAAGCAAGACATTCAAAAGAAAAAAATGAGCAAGATTCATTATAAGCAAATGAATAGAACGTACAACCCACAGGATGGGAAAGGGCCTTTGAGAAAACTTTATAACCCCAAAAGGGTCAGGCACAGGTGGGGATTGCAGGAGTCATGGTCTAATGGGTTATATTTCTGAAATTATGATACAGTCTTCTTTAATTTTTCTGGTTTTCTGACTCTTTTTCACAAGTCTTTCTATTGTTTACACGTCGTTGTTCTATCTCCTACCTCATAGCTATTCTCAAAGACATGATTACCATTATTTATTGTGGATTGTTGAAGACCAGTGTTCTCAAAGTTCGAGAAGTGTTTTCTGATGAATGTGCACTTATTACCTACTTATATGTGACTCATGAAAAACTCAATTTAATTTCTCCAAGGTCAAAGTGAAGACTGCAGGTCAGTTGGGATATGTTGATATCATTGTTGATGCAGAAGCATATGTGGCATCAAAGTTTCAAGACTGAAAAAGAGAATTTGTAAAAGTCTGTTAAATAACAATGGTCCCTAAGGGCAAAGTTGTAACACAGAAGGGCACAAAGCTTCACATGGCAGATATTCTGTTGTAAGTAATGTGGCTCAGAAATACCCTAGAAGTTGAGTGTCACATGTCCCACTGGAGAGCTGACAATGGGCATAGTTTCTGAGTCCCTTGGGAAGGTGATGCCAGTTCAGTGGCCTAAGGATTATGAGGAAGCTGAAGGGTTTCACTTGGTCACCCTGAGAAACAAGTGATTGTCAAAAATGGAAGTTATTGATAATAATGTTTATTGGATTAGAAATC